CTCTATTCCGGACCGGTTTTTTCAGTTCCGTGATGGCAGCAATGAAAAACGTGTTTACGCTTGTGCACTGCTGTGTCCGAGATCCGGAAAATTCATAAGGAATAGGCTTGGGAAAAAATAATCGATTTGAATCGATATTTATTTCGGCAATATAGTTAATTTCCAATAAACTTATAATCGATATTTATTGTTGATTATAAAATGCTATATTTTATATGATGATTCAATATAGTTGGTATATATCACAACTCGGTAAAGTTCTAATTTGATCAGCGTATGGTTCTAGTATCGATACTTAGCTAGATTTTAGAATCGTATTAAAAGTATCGATAGCTTAAGGTAAGATAAATAAGTGTTGTTACGCTTAGATGCCTAAACAACTGAACCCATCTAAATGGAAATTAATATAGTAAATAGACTTAACTCTAAGAAAGGACATAGGCTACATTTTATCGCGAAAAATAGGGGATGAAAGTTTGCCTGGAAATCTGTTATTATCAATTTTTTTTTAGACAATTGATAAGTATAGATAAATATTCGACAACAGAAGTAATAATAAAGAATAAACAGAAGATTTACAAAAGTAATTAAGTGACACTCAATGTCTTTTTCGCATTTAATAAAATTGTTTGTGTCATTAATAAATTTTAAAAAAGAAGTATTCTAAGGGAAAAATATTTCTGCTCAAAGAAACTACACCACGCGTATAAAAATTATGCCTATATATAATACAGTCAACTGATCTCGTAAAGTTCATTTAGCATAATAATTCTCCGCTAACACGTCACTAATTTCGATTTGTTTACGAAATGGCGCCACCGATTGGTCTATCTCTGTAATCGCTGAAAGTTGTTTTTACAAAACTTCAAAAAAAAATTGCACGTTTAAAAATTTAAACATCAAGTACTAGACCATTATAAGTTATTTTATTCTAATGTCACAGATATTTTTAGCTATTGTATGTGAATAATGCTGTTCCTAAATAAGTAACGGTATAAGTTTTTACATCTGATAGTAGTCATCCGATAGCAGTAAAAAAAATGCATTCGTCTTGCCATAATTTATTATGGTTTATGTAAAACGATCAGATCATTATTTAGGTACCTTTCTACGTCTTCGAACGGAATTACCGACGTTCCAAAAATCTCATCGTACCTAGCGTAAGTGACGTGTAGCTTCAAAGAGAGCTGCACTACACTGCGCCGCTCCGATCAGGAAAAAAACGGACAAGTGCACAAGCTACTCATCCGAGTTTTTCATGTCATTCCGGACCGGAAAAAATCGGACCGCCGGACCTAAAAATTCAGTGTAGTGCACAAGCGCCCATACGGTACAATCAAGAAACTTGGTGGTCTGTCACTATGTCATTTCTATACTCACTTTATTTATGTTATTACCAATTCAAGATTGAGCGGATGCCGTTTATTGAAGTGTTTTCGAAGTAAGTACTAACTTGAGGATTTGCTAGAAGTTTGGAATTTGAATTTGCTAGTAGAAGATGAAAAAAAATTGTCTTGAGCGAATTCAAAACTTAAACTTCTAGTTCCAATTTAATATAATTGAAATATATTTAGCTGTATATTGCCCTGCTTGGTCACAAAATTTAGGTATCTAATTTGTTTCACAACAAAGTTACAGAGCGTTGAAAATTGTCGCACTTTCGTACTACCAGACAATCATTATATTCATGTTGACGAAATGTTAATTTCCCGTGAACAGTTAAGCGGGGAGGGGAGGATCATGACTTTCTTGCATCCTCTGAGACCCTTAAGGGTTCATCTTATCGGTGATTCATTATGAGCTTAGTTGTTTTAAGGAAGCCATATTAATTATAAATACATGCGAGAAGTATGTTATTTAATTTGTGCACTATATTCAAAGTGTCTATGTAAGAATTTTGTAGGTGTTTTAGTGCTTTAATAAGATTAAAGTAAAAAAACACCTTGTTAGTTTTGGCATTGTTATTTAGGGATATTTAATAAATGCACACACACATTAATCACCTTTCTTCCTTTATACCGTTGAGCCAATAAAGCACAGAGCCAATAACTTTAGATAGATTTTTATGTTACATTATTTTACCATACCTATGCGTTTGGCAAGGATTCCTAAATTTATGACAAGGTTGGATAGTTGCTCTCACAGAAAGATAGGTACTGCATTAATCGGATTGGTTTACGTTGATTTCATAACTTTTTACGGCAGAAGAAATGCGTTGTGAGACTCGTGCGTTTTTGTACATGTTATGTTTTTGGTGTTAATTTCAATGTCGAATTCTTTTTAAATTCATCATTAGCACTAAAGAACTATTCTGTGTGTAATTCGGTGATTTCAAGATTTATTTGACAATTAAACAATCATCATTATTTACATAACAAAGCTCTAAGTATTATATTAAAGCAGAGTTTTGCCAAAGACTTATATGTTATTTTTATGAAGTAAAGTGAAATGCTCTTACATTTATTTTCTCGACAACCCTGACCAGTTTTGCGCTAACACTAGAATGGTGCCTGTGAAACGGAACAACCGAGCCGTGAAAACGCGACTCCACTGAATAAAAATGTATTACCTGTGTGAAATATTGTAATATAAATAAATTGCAAACATCCATGAAATTAAAAAATTTATTAAATATGATGATAACTTGAAACGATTAAAGAGAATGTGAAAATATTTTTGAAGATTGTTGTGAATAATAAAAAATATGATTTAACAAAAACTAATTTCACACATTTACGATATACCATAACATAAATTATGAATTTAAAAGAAAAATAATTATTTTGCCTCAAATCCGTGAATTTCATATCATATACATTTTTTACTATCTCATATTTTTAATCATCTTATATTATTTATTATCAATTTTCGAAATAAGTACTAAGTTTGGCTGATCAGTCGGATCTTTTGTCATTAATAAAAGAAAAATAAATTTAAATCTTTTTATTTAAAATTTTGAGTTCTTGTTGATTAGTTTATAAATCGTTAAAAATATTCTCTATTTTCGATTCCCGGATGTAGAAAATTGACTTTTTTGTATAGTCTTGAGCCTGGGTGTTGTGGTACCTTCGCTGTCTCAGATACTATCAAATAGTGGGGCTTGAGGTAATTATCTCGAAATCTGGGCAATGTCGATAATGATGTCTAATTTTTATTTATATAATTATTTATTTATTTACATACTATTTTTGTCACATATTTCCGAAGCCTTTTATCATACCATTTCGATTATGGATGCAAAAATGATCAAGTAGGTACCCGTGATGTTTCTATTTGATGTATTTAATTCAAATGTCAAGACATTTGCTTCTTTTGAAGTTTTGCAGACACTTAGCCAATAAAAAAAGTTTTTTTACCTTAATAAACCCAATTTAATCGATAAAAACTGTTAAAAGGATGGGTAACCTGTACAATTTCTTGTAGGTAGATACTTTAATGCAATATTTGACTTTTTTTTTTGGAATATAAATTATATTTAAACGTATAAATGCCTGTAATAATAATAGCTTAAATGGTAAAACATAACCTGTGCCATTTTATCAACTAAGAGCCCTGCTGTGCAAGCCATTTCATCAAAATTATTCGAAGATGATAACAAAGTCTATTATGTAAATGTTATGGCAATTAAACCATCACTTATGCAAATCTCCCACACTTTACGAGAAAATTAATTATTATTTAAACAATCTAGAGAGTGTACAGTATCTATGTACATTTCGACAGTATACATTTTCGTACCTATCTCTTAAAAAAGTTTTATATAAATATATGTTGCTACTATTTCAGAATGTTGATGAGAATTCAAATTTCTAAAATTGAATTTGCATATACATGCTCAACAATTTTGGAACCTAGGTATACCTAAGTACCTAGGAACAATAAAAAATGACTGAAAATTATTTTCCTTAAATCATATAAGTATAATGTCATCGTTCTTCAAAGGGTAGGTAATATTATTTCAATTAAACATAGTATAAGTGCTGAATTCTACAAGTACACTTCTTTTCTATCTATTATAAGCCGCATATATCTTATTGTAATTTTAAGATCAGTTTTCACTACTTAATATGAAAGCTAATTTACATTTTGGAAAAATATGTCCTTAATAATAGTTACAGGGTAGTGAAAATGGTTTTTTAAGATTTTTATATTTTTATATTTCTCGTGACTCACCTCGCATATGTTACAAGTTAACGTCACCCGCATATGATGTAGCATCTACTGGATGAAAGAATTTCCATAATCGGGTAAGAATTTCCGGAGATTACAAACAAAGTTGGCTCTTTTTAATACATATTAGCATTTGATATGGATAAATTGTAACTTAATATGCCTTTTTGTGACATAAACTAATACTAGAAATAACATCATTACCTAACACATTTTTGAAACATAACTTATTTAACCCTCGTAAAACTCAAAAGCAATTAAATAAAGTGAAAACTACTTACTTAAAAAGAATACCTACTTAAGTATTTGTTTTGCAAGTTATTATCATAACATTTTAAAAATCCAACTATCATTAACTAACTGGATGACAAAAGTCCATTCTAATGATTATAATTTATGCGCAGGAATCGGTTATGGATAGTATAACATAAGAAATAAATTTGTGTCAATAATAGTTAAGTTAAAATATAATTGTCTGTGCATCAAAACAAATATTTTAAGAGAGTAAAAATTTAATAAACATTTTATTAACTGTATAAACCTATGCGCATAAAGAACATTTAAAATTATGGACGAAACTCCCTAGTTGTTGCCACTTCTTTCACCCTGCACAAAAGTGTTTACATTGATTACAACACTGTAGTAGAAAAATAAGCTATATTGCGTTAAACATAAGATTGTAAGTTATCTTTGCGGCTTCTGTTGAATGAGCCAAGCGGCAACGAACGTCGACGTAAGTGCCGCATCGCAGCGTTTACCATCTCTTTCTTTCGTTAGTTAAATGAATGAGTAGGGGTAAGCGAACACACAGCCGTATGACAACGTCGCCATTTTACGATTTATCCAGTAAAAGCATGCTATTTCAGTGAGACAGACGCATGCTTTTGTCGTGATATTTCTGTTATTTTGAAAGTGGTGTCTTATCAAGTGTTATGTATATAGGCGGTATAATGAGATGGTCTGAAGAGGAAACTATAAAGTTGATACAATTGTATAGATCTTTCCAGTACCTTTGGGATAAAAATGCGGAGTTATACAAAAATGGCGTCATGAGAAAAAGAGCGTATGATGCTATCGTGCAGCAAATGAGCATACCAAGATTGACGGCGCGGGATGTACGATGTAAAATCAAGAATTTACGATCGTCATATTATCATGAACTACGTAAAATGGAGAAAGCGGGCTCAGAAAAGGTAGTAGGACGACAATGGTTCAATGCTTTTAAGCCCGTTATGGGCGGCAGTGGCGGCGGCGTCAGTACCTCTTCGCGAAAGGTAATGTTTGTGTACAGTCGCTAACATATCAATCAATAAACGTAGGTTATATTTTATATTTACAAACGTTCAAACTTAGCGCGTCTGTTTATGCGGTTCTTATTTATGATTTTGTGTGAACTTTTATCATAGCTGAGAAGTATATAATTGTGTATAGATATGTACCTATTACACATTAAATAGGTAAAATAGGACAAGTTTTCTAAACTTTGGTTTTAATTTTTTTGTGTCTTTAAAAAAAAGTTTTTATTTTCTTTCGTATACTTAATATTGTTAGGTACGTATTTTATAAAAAAATATGCAAAAAAAAATACCACGATGTCACGTTTTTTTAACCATTTGGTAGGGAAGTAAATATTTCTATTCCAAAACATTAGCCTTAAAGTGTATTTAAAATCAATAATATTTTAAAATTGCTGGAAATGGAAAAATATTGTCTTTTGCAGACAATGCTTTTACTGATACTATTAATACTATCAGCATACGATTATTTAATTTCTTATCAATATCCTATTTCTTATAATATGTTATGTTCAATTCATTTTGCAATCACAATCCTATATTAATCTTACAGAAAATAATATTTTTCATAAAGAATATTTACCACACGTATATACTATTGTCTCGGGTCAGGGTGTTTTAGTACATATGTGTGAAACAAAACTGTTTTACCCTTTGAGTCCGGAACCTTAAAAATACGATGTTATACCCTGATGTCAATTAAAAATTATCCTTTTCTATGTATTGGAAATTAAAAATAAAGTTATTTAGCTACAAAGGTAGATAAAAATATCCACGTGAATATATTAAAATCTAATTAGAAATTTATCAAGTTTAACTTATATCTATACGGTAACGTAAAAGTAATACATATAAATACTTTTATTTTTTAACCTTATCAAAACTTAATTTCTCGCAATTATTTAGAAAGTCAGTATGGTAGTGACTTAGTTACTTTTAATAAATAAATAAACAAACTAATCCCGCAAAGAGTTGCGAGTTAAATATGAGAATATATTGTGATGTCATGAGGTTATACTTAAACAATATTTATATAAAAGTTTAGCTATTTAAGGAACCTACATAAACTACTAATCCTACAAAATATGCAGGTTAGATTTGAGATTTTTCGCACATCTAAAAACTATGTTGAATATGTATAATATGTATGTAACATACTTATTTAATATTTTTGACATTTTGTAGCTGTTTAAAAGCGTGCTTTTAATTACACACCCTAATTAATAAAAATTAAGTTCAAAATCTATTATAAAGACGTTATTTTATTTTTACTTGATATGCTCATGTACGTACTAAATGATTTTTTAGTCATTTCCCTTTATAAATACTATACTTTGATTATTCGTAAATACAAAGGTAAAATATTTTTTACAGAGTAGTGTCACAGAAAGTGAATCCAGCCAGGACGAACAGGACGAATCCTGTTTCATCGAGGAAGAATCACCGAACATGGATGCCTACGTTGTGACAATAAAACAAGAATATTTAGACGAAATGCAAAATCACGACGAGAAAGACATAGCACCTGTTGACGATTACCTAGAAGTGGCTCCAAAGAGGATAAGAATGGTCGAGTCGCCGCCAGAAAAAACTCACGCACCAGCTTTCGAAAATCCTACGCCAAAACAAGTTACAAAATCAAAGGCACAAGGTGCAAAATTGGATGAATTCCAAATGTTCTCTAATAATATAGCTGCTCAATTGAGGAGGTTACCTCTTGATAGAGCATTAATATTACAAGTAGAAGTGCAATCTTTAATAGCCAAAGAACGCATTAGAATATTCAAACGACAAAGTGGCGATAATAAAGAGGAAGATTCGTCGTGAATTGTTTTTAATTTTAATATAATTATTTAATTTTGATTGTAAGACTTCGATTGTAATACGTTTATACAGAATACGCTTATTAAAATTGTAAAACCCTTTTATTGTTTACAAATTAATTAGTATACCTACATACCTCTCTAAATCTCATAGACGTGTAATGGTTTAAATATAAAGTAATTTGGAAATTAAATTAAATAAATCTTTAGAAAAGTAAACCTATTAATAGTATAATGTTGAAAGTGGGTTTTTTAAGCATTGTTCATTAAGAATATTTTTCAGTATAGCAGTGAATGCAATATTATAATTTCTTTCTTAATAATTATTTATATGAATTTACCAAGTAACTAAATTGTCTATATATATATGGCAAGTTTGGATGTTTGTCCGTTATTTAGGCCGAAAGTACTGAACGGATTTTGATGAAATTTGGTATACAGATAGGCATTACCTGACTGAGACAATATGAAACTATTTATCCTACTAAACATTTCCCTAGGAATCACGCGCGCGAAGCCGCTGGCGAAAGCTAGTGTAGATATAAAATAAATAACCACGTGATTCCTACACTCGTATCTATAGAAATAAAATATTTTAATAATTTGCTTAAGCAAATATTTTCAACAAATAAGAATTTAAATGAAGTAAGAACTGTTAATAATAAGAACACTATTATTATTAGCTATTAATAGTACATTTTTCATTAAAATTTTCTTTTATTGGTTATAAATATCTGCTTAAGTTATGTAATTTTCTCAAGTAATTAGGTACTTGATTAAACAGTGTGTTACCAGTGTTAAATATTACCACGTGTGCTATTGTTGCCGTTATAATGGAGTGTATAGTTAATAATACCCTATGTTTTAATCAGATTTTAACTAATAGATATTGTTTTTAAGACCATGAAAATTTAAGAAAAACTAGCTGTACACCCGCGACTTTGACAAAAAATTATAGTCACCCGCGATTTTTTAGCTAGTTATTAATTTTCAGTAGTAAAGCTCTACATAATATTTCTATCTAATCCATGTATTTCTGTATTTCTTAGCAACTAAAATATTCAATTAATTAAAAATAAAAAACGACTAAACCATATCATATGTTTTTTCTGGTATTTTATTATTATAGGAAACAAATTGAAAATGTAAGTCATTTTGTAGACGATTGCCGATTTTTTAATAAATGTCTTTATCTTTAGTAATTCGGAATACCCCAAACCAAAGAAAAAACTTTACAATGTAAAGCCAGGTGCAAACTATTATTGATATAAATTTACTAATAAACACTAATGAGTAGCTAGGTGATTTGTACATAAAGCAAGATGAGTAGAAACAATATCCCAATGGTTCTTTTTCTAGCCTGCGTGTCATGAAACATGGCATGGGTATTTCAGTACTGTTTCATAGCGTCACGACATTATCGTGCCAGATACGGAGTCCAGATGCCAATCACGTTCCGGAAAATACACTGTAACGAAGCTCTTTCAAATAGGAAGCAAAAAAATGCAACAGCTTTATGCCCTTTTAAAAAATAAAGTAGGGTAACTATGAGTCGCGGACTGTTTACAATAAGAAAAAGGTTTTGCTGTTTTTGTTTAGTGTGTCTGGTAGATATTTTTAGAGCGAATATTAGAACATTGAAAAGTTTTCTTAATTATTAAGGAGGTATAATGTTTGGATAATATAAAGTTTGAAAAAAAAAGTTTCATGGTATAATTTCATGGATTATGAAGTAAAAGATATTTTTATATATATAAAAAATGTCATTCGTCTCGGATGAAAACAGTCAATTGAGGTCGGTTTTTATGTCTATAGTTTTAGGAAGGAGAAGTTTGGAAAAATTTTCGTAAAATGAATTTGTAACGATTTTCAAATCAATATGGAGTTAAAGAGGAAGATATCTTATTTATTTAAATAGGTATATTATTCAAATGAAATAGAATGCGTTCAGTGTTATCATATCCATCACATAACGTTCTACAAAGCATTTATTTTTTTGGTAAATAAGATCATCTACTATTATGAATATATTCTCTACAAATTTAACTCAAAACTATCAAATTATACCTAATATTCGTAGATATTTACATTACAATATTAACGATTCGAATGTAAAATTGAGAACTTAAAGCGGCGGTAGTTGCTTACTTTTGGCAGCATTTGTAAAAACGCAAAAACCGTTTCTTTTCATACTTGAATATAAAGGTTCATGATTTTATCTTTGACAATGACAAACTTCTATACAAATTTTAAATTCTTATTTCAACGTTTTTATCACAATAAAAATCAAATTGTGTCTTATCTCAAGTCAACTATTTTTAGTGGGATAAGCATGACAGTAGTAGGAATAGACAAATACATTGACCTACTTTCGCTTCATAATGATAGTATGGAATAATTAAACGATTCTCTTTGTTGCTATTTATACCATATAATAAGAGATTAGCAGACAGTTACCAAAATAGTTTGAATTGAGGAGACTTTGTGTGATGTAATAGAAACAACATTGAGGTTAATACATAATGAATATGCGGCTAGTAGAATATAGCCATTCATTAGCACGTCTAAATGTAGATCAGCTGAGTTAGCATCACAATGTCCTTCTACATTGCGGCTGTACAAAGCCCGAACTGGTTAACTGTCCAGTTACCTCAATACGAAATATAATTACTTTAATGTTCAACTTCAATGACACTACAAAAAGCTACATTTATTTAACCGATTAATGTCCGTCCGATATGTTTCAAATCTAAGATTTTCGTAGTTTGTCTCTAAAAACCTTAAAGCTATTTATCCAATTAGAAATTACAGTTGAAAAGAAAAACACAAATGTATAGTTTATACAAAATTTAATCGAATACTGAAGTATTCGCAAAATTCTTTGAACAAAACGATAACCCAGTATGTTGAAGAATAAATGCCACATAGTCAGCAAAGCAATTTTTTTTTTATCAGAAGCCCCCAAATTTCTGTAGCATTGAGATCATGTCCCTACCTACAAAAGGGCAAAATGTTATCGAACAAAATGGTACTTTACTTTAGTTAAACGTAAATAAACTTTATTACAAATCTTTTGAATTTTCATATAAAACGCGAAGAAACTTTTCCCCAACCTATTAATAACGCTGTCATTTTGCATGGATTTAGATATTTGACTACTGTGCTTATTCTGGACTTTCTAATGAAGGCTTTCATTTTAAGGATTTAAACAGCCTGATGCTTTGCTTGTGCGTGATTCTACGCCTGCTTTTTCAGCACCTTCACCGTTTTATTTAACTTTGATACATTGAATTTTTGTTGCTATTTCAGATGAATCGTTTCCTACCATTAGTAGCTCATTTCAAGTATTTTATATTTTTTTGTCATTGATAATTATCGGCAGTTTAGGACATTTTTCGTAAACTTAATTTAATGTCCCTCGCTTATGTATTAAAGTATCTCGTTTATCACAAACATATTATTTTGATGTCAGATGAAAATTATTCATTAAAAAAAAACCAGGCAAACGCAAGTCGGACAAAATCAGAAAAAACTACAAACAAAAATAAAAACCCCGTCTTAAAAGTACAGTAACGTCATCTAATGATCAGTAGCATCAGCTTAATGTAACATTTTCATATAATTAACCAACATAACATAAGCATTTAATCCTGCGTAAACAGCTTAAATCATTTAGTAATGGATTTGAAATAGGATGATATGATATATTATTTCTTCGCTCCTAATAGTTGCAGCGTGATGTTTTAAAGCCTTCCTCGATCAATGATCTATTCAACACAAAAATATTTTTTCAATTCGTACCTAAGATTAGCGCGTTCAAACAAACAAACAAACTCTTCAGCTTTATAATATTAGTATAGATTGCAATAGCAAATTGAATTGTAAACAATGATCACTATGGTAACGGTTTAATGTCCTATACGAAGTTTCACTCCCATTTTCATTCTAAAAGGCGTTTTTGCGCAATAAGATATAAAATAGACATTTTTTCGGAACTTTTAAAGGGGATCAATTTTGTAGAACATGATTTTTGTGTAACTTTCACTGTTTACGCAGCGCACGCAAGGAAAGTTTTAAAAAAGTAAAATATTCTACCATTTTTTCAACATTTTTCATTGCTAATCCACTCTATAAGTCATAGTTTTCCTTAATAAATGGACTAATCAACACAAAAAAAAAAGATTTCAATTCGTTCCAGTTGTTTCTGAATTATATAGTTCAACAAACAAAAACTCTTCAGCTTTATTATTATTATTATAGATTAGAACTTGAATATTTTGTAAATTTTATACTTAAAACGTTATTTTTGTTATCAATTATGTACTGAAATACTATATTTATCACAGTATAACAAAATCTTTATAAGAAATAATATTAAATAGATTTGTTACAATGACACATTAAATTGTAAACAATAGTTGCTATGGTAACATTTTCATTCCCTTTAAAAATTTTAAGTCCCATTTCACGCCTTTAAGTACTAGGTTTCGGGACAACATGTAACCTATTACATTCCTGGATTCTTAAACTACCCAAATACCAATTTTCATCCAAAAACAAAGAAGTTTCAGACAGACGTTTCCACCCTTTTTGACCCCCTTCGCGATGGAATACCCAAAAAACAGTTCTTCTTAGTACCCTCCAAATTTCAAGTCTATAAGCTATACTTTGTCTATCAGTCAATCAGTCAGTATGTCAGGAGATGTCCTTTTATATATGTATAGATGATTACTAACCAATTTTCCTTGATGAATAAACGCTTCAAACTTGACTAATTTTAGAGCTACTACGACCATGCAATCAAATTACAATAAAGAAGTTTTCAAACCATTCAAATTTATCAATATAAAATAAGTGAATTTGACGCTAAAATTTACAGCGTGGTTATTAGTGAGCCAAATTACAAAATGATAAATGGCGACATTTAAATCTCATCATTGCCCACCTTCCTAAGGGCTTCAACACGTCGTTTTGAGTTATTAATTTAGAATGATAAATTTTGCTTAGATTTTATATACCTTAAATTCAAAGTAGCGATATTTCACTTTGATCATATGCTAATTTGTTTTTATGACTTTAAATATTGCCTAGATGAGATTGGAGAATTTTG